GAAGCTTTAAGGAGAGCAAAGATGAGCCCGGCATAGTTTGTCTCCTTTCATGGCCTTGTAAGCCAGTAGGAGAGATTAGACAAGAGTAAAAATGGCTTAGACACATGGAGGAACATGATAATTGCTGTTAAAATAGTTTAAACAAATAGCTATAGGATATCTAAGATGCTAGGAATGGTCATGTCACTCCTTTGGTATTTTCCCCCGGTAGTAGCCCCGGGCTGATAAGAGAAGGTCTAAGCATGGTGTGCCTCTGGTCTATGTGCCTGTGGACAGTCTGCCTGATGTAATCTCTCCAGCCCCGTGCTCCGTCGTCACTGTGACTCACTGCGGTCATGCCTCGCTGGCCTGCTCATTATTCCTGGAACATTCCATGTTCTTTCGTGTCTCCATGTTTTGCACATACTATTCCTTTTCCCTTTCCCTTCTGTTTCTTTGTCTCAAATCCCAGTTTATCCTTGAAAACTCTACTTAATTTCATTTCTTTTTTGTGCTTTCTATGGTGCCCAAGTCAGTATAATTTACTCCTTTTTCGAACATGACACTTTACATGGCATTTATTATAACATTCGTCTTACTGAATTATAAATATCGGTTAAGAGAGCCCTGTCTCCTTTAGTCCTTGAAAGCAGGACTACAACTCTCAGTCTTCGCATGGCTAGTGCTTGTCACAGGGTCTGAATCATGCAGATGAAGGAAAAAGTGTAACTGGTATTAGATACTGAGAATTATACCTGCTTTAGGTTCTCTCAAGTGGTATCATGGAGACAGTTGCAGGTGTCCTCATGGTATTCTGAAGGCAAATTATTCCAGATAAATTATGTGTAATTCCAGGCTCAGTTTTCTTTAAAAATTATAGTGACATACAATACTATATAACATTATATTATATAGTGATTCAACATTTCTACCTTCTAATGTGATCACCGCAAGTCTAGTAACCATCTGTTCCTATACAAGGCTATTGATATTCTTGACTATATTCTCTGCAAACTCTTAGTCTTAACTAAACATGTGATGAAGCAAAGGTTTGGGAGAGTTGGCAAAAATTGTGAGGCAATAGATTCCCTTCAACAGGCAGTTTATCAACATCTTAGCTTATCCCAAGTGAATATTGATTTCAAATATAAGCTTTCCTGGTCACCTATTTTGTTAAGTGGCTGCATATTTCATTAATTCTTAAGAAATTTTATGTTACTTAATTTACAGATTATTTCCGTTTATAATTTTATGGTTCACAATTTTTCCTTAAGTGAATTTTGTTGAACTCATGTTCTACTCTGAAATATAGAACATAAGTTCTCATTGAATATTTTATATTTGGTATGTGTATCACACATTTTGACATAAAACTCTTGTTATAAATTTTCTTGGCATTTTTATCCTAGTATTTGGGAAAATGTTTATTTTTGAGTTCTTGAATTTGTAATATATGAATATATAAGATTCACATACATATGTGAATATACAAATAATAGAACATATAGAGACAAATTTAGAAAGTTTAAATGACATTTGTTTTTAGAATTGCTGACATTTGTTTATAGAATTGCTGACTTTTGGGGATAATTATCTAAAAACCAGATCATTGATACCCAGGATAATCCTCTATTTTGTCAGTAAAATTATCCTGTGGGACATGCCCTCTAGGATGCTCATGAGACAAGGCACTATAGGCTGTTGAAAGATACAGTATTTCTTTGACTTGGGAAGAACTTGGGGAAGACAAGGCCCATGCACAAGAAACGGCAGTCTGGTAGAAAGAAGAACCCAATCACAAACAGTAAAATCTAGCCTCCCTGAGGACTTACTATACAATAGCTTCTGAACTGTGAATTGCCTACTTTCATATAGTAAATCATTTGATTCTCAGAATAATTGGTGGGGTACACATTATTTTTATTATTCCTATTACCCAAACAACAGCATAAAAGTGTTCAATTATTTGGCCAAAGTTGAACTGTCAGGGAATGGTAGACTGAGGGTTGAAACCTATGTTTAACCACAAAGTTTTCTTTTCTCATTGGGAATATTACGGGCATTTACTTAAGAATGCAGATAGTGGGGGGTTTTTGCAATCTGTTTACGGAATACTTTGTAGAGACACTGAGCATTGTGAAAGAAAAAGTGTTCGATGTTACAGAAAGGCCGACAGGCACCAAGGATCATGCAGGATCCCAAACCGTGTGGGCCAGGCAATTTAGAGAGTCCAGATAATGACATTTCAGTAGGCATCCAGAAATGTCCACGTGGTAAGGAATAAATACATGGAAAAGGTTGGAAGAACACGCACCAAAGAGTTAATGCTAATTACCTCTGTGGCAGGGCTTAGGCAGAAACAGGATTGAGGAGTGGGACATTAAGGGGAATCTTTTCTTGCTTATTTCACATTCTTTGGAAAAAAAAAAAGATTTAAAATTATGAGTGATTTTAAAATTTAAATTTAGTATTTTACTCGTTTTCATTTTCAAACGATTACTAAAATAGTAGTAAAAACTGTTGGTACAAAGATTCAGTACTAAGAATCTTTTAAAAGAAAACGTAAACTATGAAAACCAAAGTTGAAAAGCTTTAAAACTTTTTTTCCTCTTGTTTTGGAATCACAGGCAGTCTCTAGACTAAATTTCTTCCTTTTGTTGAAATACATTTCTAGGCCCGTCTTGGAGATACTCTTGCCTGTGGTGCTGCATCAGCAAACTGAAACAGATAATTCTCGTGTCCTTTCAAAGGCTCTGCTTGACCCGAAACACAGTCTATGCGTCAGCCAATTCCCAAACGCCAAGCCAGCTGGGCTCTATACAGTCCTCCTTGATTTATCTCACCCCAAACAAGGCTGACTCTGTGGCCCAAGCCAATCAGATATTTTCTAATTTTCTCTTTCTTGTTCTTTATTCTTCATCCTATAAAAGTTTCCTGTCTTTTGCCCTATTTGACAGTTCTCCGAAAAGAGATTTCTTCATGAAGTGTTCATTTGTTTTTATCATTGAAATTCTTTATTACTTTCCTCCCCCCTTCTTCCCTTTTTTGTTTCCGTTTCCCTCCCTCCCTCCCTTCCTTCCTCCCTTTCTTCCTTCCTTCCTCTCTCTCTTCTATTGTAATATTCTTTTCACCAAAGACCCTATGGAGCAAAAGTCAAACATGAAAAGTTTCTAAAATCTTATTTGATGCAAAAAAACTGCAGTTTTCTAATCTATTTCTTGATACTGCATGTGGATTTCTTTTTATTAATCTGTTAGTAAATTATCATTACAGAAGATATGTATTATTTATTCTACAGTTTTAAATACCCAGCAAACACTATATTTTATCTCAATTTCAGGGGCATAATATAATAGCTTGTTTATATGGGAATTAAACAAGCCATATATAGTATTTTACAGAGAGAGCATTGGAGTTATCCCCGGGAGCCTCTTCATATTATCTTCTTCATCCACCAGATTGAATCAGTAGCAAATAGATTTTACTTCTAAATCATCTATGTACACTGCCATTGTCCTCATTCAGGGCTTCATTCGTATCACATAGATTCAAAACCTATTTACTAAGTGTTTCTATAGTCTCTAATATAATTTAACAGTTACAGATTATAGTCAGAGCTGTTCTATTCATCTTTGTTTTCTTTGCTGAAATTTAACAGGACACAACCATGAACTTTATGTGACCTAAATTCCTGACTGGAACTTAATTATCAAAATACCCTTGGATATCACACATAATATTAATGAAGTGGAGGTTCTTGCCTTGGAGGCAGACTTCAGTTGGCATTATCTATTAGAATGTGCCAGATTTGTTTGAAATCTGACAAATGTTTTCTCTCTATATTTTTAAAAAATGAAGTAAATAAATCTAAGTGATTGTAATTGTCCAGTGTAATCTACAACCTTACTCCATTGTGAAGTATGCTATAGGACCTTTGTTTGATACTCAGTTTTAGCAGTAAAACAGAGAACTTCAGATAGAGAATTGTCGTAGGGCCACGAGCATACAGACCCTAATCCATGTCAGACACTAGAATGTGAGAGGACTAATTTGTTTCTAGGAATACGTAATCATGCATTCACGGAGCAGTTTTTGGCTTGATAAATCCTTAGGCCACGTTTACTGTTAACAATAACTTGTCAAATAGGCCCTGATTTTAAAACTCTGGATACTTGGAGTGAGCATTCAAGTTCTTTCTTTGAGGAAAAATATTGGAGAGTATATTTATCAAGTAATAAGAATTGAATTTCTGCACATACATGATTGAATAGATTTTGAATACTATATTGTCAGGCAAAGGACTCTGTATGTGGTCACCTTATTCATACTAAAAGGCAATTAGTATTTTTAGCAAATCTTAAAAAGCAATAGACTGAAATCATTTTGCATTAACCTCATGTACTTGATTCAAGACAATTTTATATGTAACTTAAAACATGATATGAAATTATACTATGATGCTTAAATTTGACTGGACTTTAGTTTCCCCGAGTAATCTTTATCTTTTCAGAAAAGTATGTAACCTTTCTGCATGTAGTTTAAAATGTTTGCTATTACTCTCTCAACTGATTTTAAATAATTCTTTGAAAGTATAATTAACATCTTACAACAATCTATAGTATATCATTTAAACTATCAGTATTTAGCTTAAGTATGGGTGAGGTTAAATGAATTGCATTATTTTCTGTAAAACAAAACACATACACAATTTTGACAAATGTTGGCTCCATAACTACATTTATTCCTTTTGGAATGAATAGCAGCAATTTAGCATGCTTAAGATTATTATGGAAAATGCAGTTACTTGGTGGTATAGGTAGAAATAAAGCCTGCAGATAAATCTTACACATTCTGTTTTTAAAAAGTGGCAAAATTCCCATTACTTTCCCCTTCCAAATAAAAACCCAGGCATCTTCTAACTAATATTATATCTTCAGGGAAACTACTATTATATTTTTAGCTTCTAAAAATTTAACAAATGTTGTCCTACTAATTAGTATATTATGATACATCTTACAGACCTTTTCAATCCTTGGTTACTTTGAAGGCTCCAAAACGGTGATGTAGTTCAGATGAACATTTCTTCTTTTCTGGGGGAGCAGAGGCTGGCCTTGCCTATTCATTACAGACTCCTTGGTCCGTGGTCACTTTGAGGCAACTGTGGCCTCAGAGCTTCATCTGTCCTCTTACTCCACTCAACTATATTTGGTAACTGAACTCATGTTTCCTCAGACTGCCACCATCAGGAATTCCAGCAGGGAGCTGGGAGGCAACCCCAGGTCTGAGGGCTGGGTTCTTAGAAATTGGAGGTGCTTAGTGTGGAAATAATATTTTTATGGGCCTCATAAACACAAGATTTACACTTCTTCCTCTACACCCTGACTTTGTGGCTGAAAATCACCGCCCTTCTTTTTAACATATTCTTAATCATTTAGAAGTACTCTAAGTAATTCCAAGGAGAAAAAGTGACATTCATAAGGAATACCCTTTTTACTATAATTTTCTTCTCAATGAATTTAACTTTTAGTTCATATGGTAGATAATCCTAAAATACCAAGTCCACTCACTATTGAAAAATTTAGCACCTGTCAAATTGACTGAAGCGTCCACTGTTCTCTTACTTCAAGTTTTTAATAAAAAATTATTATATGACTATAATGTGTATTAAAGACATAGTTTATAGTAGCATTAAATAGATAAGCATAGAGTGAATGAATTTTATATACATCGCAACATTGAATTCTTAGCCCAATGGCTATGACATCATGAACCTCCAACAAAAATTTGTTGAAGAAATAAATAAATGCTGAATGAATACTATGCAGGACAAGTATGAACCCTTTTACTGTTGTAAAAACAAAGTTTCAGAACCGCTTTATTATTCTATAGACTCTCCCTGTAACATTTTGAACTTCCAAATAACAAGTAGCTGTGGCAAGAACAGAAAGCTTTTCTGTTCCAAGGTCAGGTAAATCTAAGGGATGGAAAATAATCACACAAAACCTCCCTGTTAAGTTCACTGGGAAATGAAGTGTTGCATCTTCCTTTGTCTGGAAAATGCCACAATAGTTGATCCAGTTTCTAATCTAAAGAGCACAGAAGTTGAAAAAGATGAGGCACTGGAAGAAATTTCAGGAACCTGGATCAGGGAAAGGAGCAGGATCTTCAACTGTACCGAGTGCTGTATTTCTAAAAATTGGTAATGACAGGAACACAAGAAAATAGTCACAGTTGATACATCTTGGTATTGTTGTGTCTCTTACATTAATATCTGTATATTTGTGCTTAAAAACATCATAATCAAAAATTAAACAAGAACCTCTATTTCATCCTAAGGCAAGCTGAACATGGAAGAGGTTATGGGAGTAAATATATTGTAACCTCTCCATGATATTACCTTAGTTATGGAAAGAGTTGCTGAGATTAACCAGGCAAGTAGTTAAAAATGCCATATATACAATGAGTATATTAATAAAAATAATATTATTATTAAATTAAAGGTAAATGGATGTTAACATATGACTCAACCTTCGTCTCGATGTTCTAACAGATTTTAATGTTGTATTAATGGTATATTATGTAAGGGACACCAGGATTTTTTTCCCCTCTGGACCAGGCTGTACCCAGGCAATAATTCGACAATCCCAGGTTCATTTTACAACCCCACCTGAATTGTATGCTGAGGACATGCACGCTCATGCCGATACCTTTCTCTTGCTAAAACATTCCCAGGAAGATAAACATTTGAAATTAGTGACTCATCCTTTTTTTGTTGTTGTGGCATCTTTACAAATGAATGACTATACGTTTTCTCTTTGTCTTTCCAGAAAGTATAGGCAAGTTTTATGATGTTTAATGTTTTTTTTTTTTTTGTTACAAGAAAAAATTCACACATCTGTAGAAATGAAAAGTTGAAAGTAGCATGTGAAAGTATCAAAGTCACAGTCATTTGTACGTAAGACTGAAATCACGTTCTTGGATTATCTGCAGGAGGGAGCTGGTGCTTCTACAGGGAGATGGAGGTTCCAGACTGAGAACAGGGTTCCTGAAACCAGGAAGGGCAGAGGAGAGGTGGCATCTGTGACTGGCCATGACGCTGAGCAGGGTCTGGGCGTCGAGGCCTGGGCACTGAGCGTTAAGCATCATAGCCTTGGGAGCTGCAGCGAAAGAGGTGGGCGCCTCTACTTCCTAGTGGGCCACGGGGGCCAGAACGGGAAACCTCACAATGAATCTAATGGTGACCATGTTGGCCTGACTGGAAGGAGGCCTCTCCCAAATTTCTCTGGAATGCCTGGTTCCTAAATTTTGTTCTAATACCAGGAAAATGATGAAGCTGTAAGAAGAAAAAAGGAAAAAGGAAAAAAGAAGGTAGCTTGTGGTCCTGAGAAAGGCCTTATAGTAGATATCATTTTATTCAAAAAGTTAAAGAAATGTGACTTTTCTCGTATATTGTAAGCAATGCAGCAAACTATGCTTGTTTTAAACTATAAGAATCTGAACAACAAAAGTCCTTTTCCTTAGAAAAGCTATATGGCTTTCTCCATAGATAATGAATGACTCTTTGGACAAAATTTAACATCCACTCTCATCTCTGTGAAATAGGAAGAGAATGGTTCTACCTGACCACAATATGAAGATATTTGAAGTATGTGTGTGTGTTTGTGCAGGTGTATACATACACTCTTATTCACACAGTTATTGCTGGAGAAGTAGCCCTTGAAAACTTGGAATTAACAAATTCCTTATGAAGGAAAAACAAGGAATGGAATAATGAATGAAATGAAATTCCATCTATGCTTGTATAGAAAGATGGTTACATTGAAAGGGCAGCATAAGTTAAATAAATGACATATATTTTGGTCTATTTCTTGGCCTCGTTCCACTGACCTTAAAGACCTGGATCCCTATTTTATTTCATTTGCTTCATTCAGCAAATTTAAAGCTCTTTAGGCTCAGGCAAATTGGAGGAAAGAAGGATGTGGAATGAGTAAGTATGTAGTTATGAGATGATACTGAAGATTAGGTTAGGATAAAAGTATTGTACCTAACAGGGTGTAGCATCATCATATACATGTATGTATAATTATACATGTGATATATATATATCACTATATATATAATTATACGTCTATAATTTCTCTCTTTTTCTTGAAACATGAATTAAAATGTTTAACATTTTCCTGAAAGGTAGCAGTGGCCAGTCTGGGAGAGCACATGCACTCTGACTGGGGTTGTGAACAGGGTTGGGTGAGGGACCCAATGCGCATGGTGAAGTGCCACTTCTAACAATGACATCAGAGGGAAGATGGCATCAGAATTATCTTGACTACTGCTCTTCTCACTCCTTATCCTTGTCCTTATTAATAATAATATTTAAAATGTACTTTCTAATATAATATACCTCAAGAAGTGGTAATATGGGAAAGATACTGTAAATATACTATTAAGTGAAATAAGCACATTGAACACTAGTTATTATATCAGGAAGCTATGAGTAAAGGAAACTGTCAATATTTTTTCCTTTTTGTATTTGAAATTTCTTGTGCTTATATTACCCTTACCACAAAAATATGAACCCCCCCTAAAAATTACCACACAATAAACCAAAAGCCATTTTAATCTTTTAAAATCCCTTTTTACTGAAACACCTACTAGATGGTAACATTTTTTGAAGTCCTTTGGGTATAAATAGAGAATAATTAATTAAAGGAATTTTGAATTCAGTATGTTTCAGTTAGGTGAATTAAAATAAACTTTATTGACTTTAATATATTAAATAGGGTTTCCACTACTGTGGGTCAGCTCTTGCTTGCTAATTTGCAAATCATAAGATTCATTTATGAGTAGATGTATTCTGCATTTGAGCATTTATCTTCATCTGGCTAACCTTGAAACACTGTATCCTTTTGACCAACTCTATCGTAGATCTGCTCTGAGGACACAATCCTTACTTCAGGAAAAGCTTTGTGTAAAACATGTTCAATACTACATTACCTATGGTGGCAAAAGTTGAAGCAACTTAAATACAAGTTATGGAATGACTTAGTAAATGTATGGAATTTTGAAGTAGTCATAAAAAAGCATTTTCCTGGTATTTATATTTGCATAGAGAAAAAACTCATCATATTATGCTAAGGGAAATAAGAAGGAAACCAATAGTTTTACAGTTAGAATATAACCTTAAAAAACTTAATCTTTACATTGCTGAAAGCTTTAATGGTTTAAATGGAACTGGTTTGATATTTTAAAAAAAGTATGAAGATATCACTAAACTGTATGAAGCAATTTGGTTTTTCTTTCTTTTTTTTCCTCTGTTAGAAGGGAAAGGCAAACTTCCAAAATAATTGGATATTTAAAAATGGCTTTGAGATTTATTTGACCTAAATCAAAACTCATAGCCTTTTGTTTCTCTTAAAGTCCACATTTTACATGCCTGATGTAAGATCAAACTTGCAAGTGGAGTGGTCGCTGCCAGACAACTAGGGACAGCTGTATAACAATTTCAGAAGCTGCTGACCAAAGAAAGTCTAATGTGGAAGGATGTGACTGTCACTCCCTGAAAAAGCAGAAACGAAGGAGGAACATGGTAAAGGAGGAAATCAGCTGTTGGACCAAAGGAGGATTTAAACATTGAAAGAAATGTCAACCATTGAAGACAGTTGCTATGCCATACAAAATCCCGAGGTCAGTCCATCATCTACTTCTGTTAGACTAGCAATTTGCTCAGCTCTTGCTATTTTGGGAAGGAATTTCCACAGAGCTGGCATATCTTCAGCCCCGGAGGTTTCCTCTGATTGACTGATCAACAGGTGTTGAAAAAGCCTGTGACAGAAATATTGCAGACCCAGTGCTCTCATCTAACTTCTATAACGGGGACTGTAGTGTCACTGGAGTGTATCATTTCTTAATCAAGGAGCCTTTCTGCAGGAGAAAAGCTAAACACATTATTTACAATATTTATAGATATTGCTTTACCATAGACACAGCATATGCATTTGATAATGTCATACTTATTTATGATTTACAAATTGAATATTGTATGAATGATTACACAACTGAAACTTAAATAAATAAATATGATATAGAATGAACTTTTAAAAGAAATGGTGTTGACATTATAATCCTAAAATATATTAAATTACTGTATCTTGATTTA